GTGTGTGTGTGTGCGTGTGTGTGTGTGTGTGTGACGTTTGAATGCTCTTGATAGAAAGATAAGCAAAATAAAAGTGACATGAAGGAAACACAAAAGGTTATTCTGTTATTCCATTCAAAATGTGATTATTGTGTGACTGCAAATCACACAATAATCACATTTTTGCATGATTATTGTGTGATTTGCAGTCTGCCTGATCTGTTGGTCTACATTTATTAGGAAGACTCGTGCATCATGTGATGTGGCTTTTTGCCTTCCATGGGAGCGTTGCGTTGAAGGAAAGTGCACATGTAAACCTCCTTATCTGTGCCCCGTTGAGAATGTGAACCCAGTTTGTGGCCATGACAACAGGAACTACCGATCCTACTGCCAGGTAACTCATTATAGTCCAAGGTATGACTGCTATATCTTCAGTCAGGAACCAGTCAGGAACTAAACTAGCGGACACTGATATTAGACAAGAAGGCCTGGTTGTTAGTCCCCACTCTAAATCATCTCTAAGGTCTTCTATCAGGTTGAGGTCAGGAATCTGTGCATACCAGTAAACCATACCGGTAATGGAAACCCATTCGATGAAGCTCTCCATGTTCCTGAGCTGGTCTGAAGGCTGAATGATGGTTGGAGGTCTGTAGCTAATGAATCAGCAGAGAATTTGCACATTATGCATCCACTGACCCAGCTTTGTGATTTTACAGGACCTAGCATTTCGAGTTGCTCTCTTCCACTTTGTTATAATACCACTAACAGGTGACTGTGGATCATCAGGTGACCAATCTTTCACAAATGTTTTGTAGAAGCAGTCTGCATACCTAGGTGCTTAATTTTATACACTGGTGGCCACCTGAATTCCATGATTTGGATGGGTGAGTGGATACTTGGCAATACAGTGTACATGCAGTGAGACAAAAACTGGTTCATCCCAAAGACAAAACTCCTAAACACAAACTTAACAATGTACTGTATGGCATACAGCGAGGAATGCCCAGACCTCTACATCGGAGAGACCAAACAGCCACTTCTTAAATACATGGCACAACATAGAAGAGCCACCTCCACAGGACAAGACTAAGCAGTCCATCTGCATCTTAAGGATAAAGGACACTCTTTCGGAGATGCCAATGTTCACATTTTGGACAGAGAGGACAGATGGTCTGAAAGAGGAGTGAAAGAAGCCATCTATGTCCACTGTGAGCGACCATCTTTGAACAGAGGCGGTGGTTTACGACACCAACTCTCTGCCATCTATAATCCAGTTTTGAGATCCTTTCCCAGACGCCTTAACGCCCACTCACATCCTGGGCCATCTGATCTCAGGAAATCACATGATAGGGTGGGGCCAGGTTTCACAATGGGTTCACCCAAAACCCTGGCTGATTGTGACCCACACCCATTTTCACACCTTGGCTCATGTGATTAGACAGACGATCAATAGGGATCCATGACTGTCGTGGGGACACACCCATAGGGCTTAAAATCTGTGGCTCTTCACCAGGGCTGGACTGGAACAAAAAATCGGCCCGGGCATTTTGACTAGAGACCGGCCCACCAGGTATTATAGGAAAAACCATAAAGCCTTTGAATGAAAACAAACGCTGTTGTCACAGTGATGTACACTGTCTTGTTGGTGTATATGTATCAATCTAATAAACTTAGACCTACACCATCCTCCCTATTCTGGTATTCTAAACTGTACCCGAAAGTAGACTCCTTGGTCGAGTTAACCTCCTAAACGATCTACAACACATGGTGAAAACCTGAAATTAAGACAGAGAAGACTAGAGGTGAGACATGATCATTACTGATTACTGATGACAGATTTAGATATATTTTCATAAACCATTCATTTACCACATCAATAAACAGCAGGGCAAAATATTTTTTCTAACATGGCAACCTTTAAAAAGTGAAAGGAGACAGGACAAAATGTTCCTTTTCACCTCAATACGAGACGACTCCGTTTTTTACGGGACAGTTGGAAACTCTAATAACTAACCTTACAAATAAAATAAGATAAAACAAGTTAACATCATAACACCCGCCCAGCAGTATATAAACTCCGTCATGCTAGCTAGCACGCAGTACGAGTTATTGTAACTGACTGTAAAAAGTCAGCATAACGAAAATAAACTCCACCTAAACTTGGTTTATATCTGACCCAGATAGACTGCAGGTCATAACTTCTTCCCTGAAGTTCAGTTCACTGCCTCAGGTCTCTGCTCCTCCTGCCTTTCCGTCATCCACTTGCCAGCGTGTTGCACCTGCTGTCCTCCACCACTTGCTAATGTTACTGAATCTGTGGAAGCTCCGCAATAGCCACCACCAAACAACTGAGTTCTTTTACACATCTCCCTTCATCTGGCCAATCCACCACTTTTCAGTGTTTATACCGTTATGGAAAAAAAACTAAAAACAACCATCGGGCATACCAGGCATTTGCCTGGTATGCCCGATGGCCAGTCCAGCTATGCTCTTCACCAATTGCTCTTAGAACTGAAGAAGCTTCTCGTATGAGCAGTGAAACGTCTTCAAGAAACTCTAAGAAGTCCAGACACTTTTCCTTCCAAGCTCTTTAGACTACAATGACCTGGATGACTGAGAACCTTCACAGACATGCATTTTGTTTTTAAGATTTCCTAAGATTTCCTAGCTAAAAATCAAAATTAATCCTGACCTAACCAAGACACAGTTGATCTTCTGTATGTTACAAGTCTACAGAACATTAGATTATATTGCACATTTAGGGGCCACTATTTTTAAATTTCTATTTAATCTCTTTTCCAGGTGATGGCGCTCTCATGCCGGACCAGGAAATCCCACATGTCCCACTTTGGGGATGACTGTGATGGTTCGCTCTTTCTGATGCATTCAAAGCTTTGTGATTCTTTCTGAGATTCCTACAAATTGTTTATGTTACTTTAATCTCTTTTTCTCACAACAGTAAATGGTCCAAAGTTCAGAACTTCAATAGATGAGGAAACCGGATTAGTCAAGTTGTTTGTTCCTGACAGCAATGGTGGGGAGGAATTACTGGTGTGTAAGAAGATGTGGAACATGGCTGCTGCTAATGTGGCTTGCAAGGAACAGAAGAAACCACTGTGAGAGAAATTACACAAACTACGAATAATAAAGCATGAACATATAGGATAAATATACATGTTTATCATCTGCTAGTCAATAAAAATTTAATTCAGCAAATAACCACAGTATTAGAGTCAGACACTTCTAACATTGTGTGTACAGGGGTGCAGCATCCAAAAACACAGTGGAGTACAACACCTTGACAGCTTCCACACAGCTTCCACACAGATGTGTTAGTGTCTACTGTCAAGGTTATGAAACGTCCTTAGCTGAGTGTGTTATCTACGACAAAGTGGAGGTTACAAAAGGATCGTTAGTTGCTACTGCAACCTGTTACCAGGAATCAACAGCACCAACAGGTCAGTATGTGGTAATTCTACTGTATTCTTGTCTGTGGTTAGAAAACAATGTACTCCTACAAATTTGTAATTGGTAAATTTAAACTGTAAGAAGGTTTTCAGGGTGCTCTTAAGCTACTTGTACTTAACATAAATGCATTTAGAACTAACTTAAAATTGTTCCGAATCAACACTATTAAGAGAATGTGTATGAATTAATGTCTAAAAGTAAAGGTTTATCAGACCGTTATGCCTTCTGCCTGCCTTCGGTGTTAGGTGCTTCGGACTGGTCCAAATATAAGGAGACCACAGAGCTGACCTAACACATTTTGCAGATATAACACCTCTCTTGGAAACCTTTCAGTGTCCCCCACCAGAATAGCTCGAAAAGGTGCCTGGGAAGAGGGACGTTTGGGTGTCTATGTATAGACTATGCCCTTGCAACCTGGACCTAGACAAGTAGCAGACGATGAATGGATTGTTGGAAAATTCAGTGGAACTTCTAGAATAAACTAATTAACTGAAATTTTTAAAAAAACTCACCTCAAACGTTGTTAGTCCTCTGCAAGTGCAACTGCACTCAGCAGGGACTTCTTGTTGGGTATAAATTTGGATCTTAGACATTTATTTGAGCTTTCTCAAAAAAAATTGAGTTGCTAAATAAACATTTCTGTATTCACAATCTAAACTGTCAACCCATCTTTCAGCTTCTGAAACCCAACATGAACATTTTTATCATCATCAGGCTCACATGACTCCCTGAATTTGAAAATTTAGAGACAGTGATGCTCAGTCTTCATTAATAAATAATTTTCTTCAACAGAATCGAATATTTTCTCCTCCACTCTAAAAGAAGTTTGTCTCTTCTGTCTGTTTTAGACCATCCCTTCACCTGTGTGAATGGAAAGCGTGTGGCTCAATACCAGACGTGTAACGGAATTGATGATTGTGGTGACCAAAGTGATGAGATGTGCTGCAAAAGTAAAACTACACAAACACAATCAGAAATTATCTTACCTTAGCTTTGTGCCCCAAGTTTTACAATGTGAATCATTGTTTTTATCAGAGTGCAGAAAAAATGCTTTCCACTGTAAAACGGGAGTGTGTATTCATAAAGAAGCACTCGCTGACGGCAAGATCGACTGCCTGGATGGCGAGGATGAATCAAACAAATTTAAGTCAAAGCAAAGTAAGGCACAACATATCTTTACTTCCACACAGTTTTAGAAAAACAGATGTTTGCTCTTAGAAAGTTGTTTTGTTTTGTTTTTTTGCAATTTAGTTTCTTCCACTTGTAAAACTGGTTTCACTTGGGTTCCTGATCTACCCAAACTTTGGCAATTACATAAAGGCTAGTTACATCTTGGAGCAAAATTGGTCCAAGAACAGTATACCAGCAGAAATTCCAACTATAACTTACTGCTACTTACACAGCCAAGTTTAACATGGACCTTTCTTGAATATGTCAGCAGTATTCATCTGACTTAGGTAACTCAAAAGTTTATGTTGTGACACAGTGTAAGTCTGGAATACAAGTTGCAAAAATGCTCCTGTAATCTGAAAGCTCCTTATGATTACTGTAATATACATTTTTGCTAAATTTATATTACGTTAAACTAAATTTAACTGTGTCATCTAATCTTTTACGTTTAAGTAAAAGATTGGATTAGAAAGATTCGATTTAACACCTGTTCACACTGATAGTGTCATGTGGTTTGCTTCATATAACTACAATACAAATAGTTGTCACAGTTAGAAAAACGCTAACTTCTGGTGAATGACTTTCATAGCTGAAAGTCCACAACCATCAGGTTTTTTTTTCCATGCACCCGAGTCCTTATAGCAATATGTTTCTGTTTTCTGTAGAATCACTTTCACTGAAAGGTCTGCCCAAAAATTCAGGTAAATGAAATCCTCACAGCAGCTGTTTGAATATTTCACTGTTTTAATTAGTGATGATGACAGTAATTATTTTTTCTTCCTGTATTTCAGAGTACATCTCTCCAATGAATGGTATGTAGATTAAAAGTGACTTATCAGAGGTGGTGGCACATCTTATTTTATATACAATGATTAGATAATCTTGATGCTATAGTAGACAATGACATTTTTGACAACAGTTTTCTTCTAGCTACAGTTTAGGAGACCTTTAATCATTGGCATAAGAGAACCTCAGAAGTTTACATGGATTCCAAAGCTTCATCTAATCCAGTTGGGATACACTGGACAGTCAACTGCAAGAATTAGTCACTAGTATTAGTGTGTAACCTTCTCACATACTATATGATTAGAACAGTAGGAAGTCTACCTATTGCAGAGGTTCCCAAAATGTGGGCCGAGCCATTGCAGGGTGGCGCAGTATGAAAAAATAGTCACGAAGATTTTTCTTTTAAAACAAACGGGGGCCTAGCAAAAACAGTTTAGGAACCTCTGACCTATTGTAACCCTCATTTCAATTTGCATATGTTCTTTAAATCAGTCCTGAGGGTACAAGATCACCTTATATACAGGGATATCTAGTCCCCAGGGTATGAATTTCAACAAAACTCTGCGTTATATAGCTTTGTGTGTTGTTAACTTTGTCCAGAAACGAAGGCCAACAGAAAAGCCCTGGAGGCCAATCTGGTCTGTGGCATTCCAAATGCTACCACAGTGGATGATGAGGAAGTGGTGCAACGAGGAAAGAGTACCCATGGAAGAGTCAAGAGGGTAGTCGGGGGAGTACCAGCAAAGCCGGTGAGCTGGAATCAACATAACTTTTTGAGTACAGTTACCGTTCCTGCTGCTACTATGTGGTTTTGTTTTGTTTTGTCATTCTTACAATGTAGCATAATGATCTCCCTCTGATGCTAAATACCCAAAGGGATTTTTAAGGTCCTGTAGATCCTCAGATGCTCCACCTGTTTGAAGCCCTAGACCTCTTGCCTAGTGTATGATAGTGTATGATAGCCCTGTTGGTTAAATCCAAAATGCTATGTCATGGCATGCCTACCTTGCTTAGACATACAAATTTAAATCAAAACATGATATACTCCCAAACCTAACCAAATCACTTTGGTGGCTAAAACTAACCAAACAACAAGTCACGTAGACTAAAAGAAAAGAAAAGAAACCCCAGTTTCTCTCTGGACAGTTCTGTTACTCTAGCAGACGTCCACAAATTCAGTGGACGTAAATTTGAAAACCATTGGGAACATAATGAAGAATTCCATTACCGTTCCTCTCAAGAAGCCATGTCTGTTTCTGTGATGACATTGTTTTCATAGAAGGTCTTGATTATTTTAGCACGAAAATGCCACACCCCATTTGGCACAACTGAATGATAACTGTCATCATAAGTAACAAGCAACACATGAATAACCTGCCACATATCTTCCTGTTGGTGTGTAGACCCAAATTCAGTGGCAGGTTGCTCTGGAGGAAAACAAGAGGATTGACTGTGGAGGAGCTTATATCGGAGGCTGCTGGGTCATCACTGCAGCTCACTGTGTCAGGTCGGACAAATCTCTCACACCACTCGTCTTTCCTAACATCAACACATTGAAGGATTTAAAACACTTTTTTAAGACTAGAAAGTCCTCACACATTAGGTTTTTTCTCTCCTGGTACCTTCACTTTCAAAAGTAGTGTAAATTTGATACCATTTCCAGAAACATTAAGCCCATGCTCTGGTCAGTGCAGTTAAAAGTCATGCTGTGCCTTGGAAGTCAGCAATAACCATATTTTTCTCCCTTGCTGTTTACAGACCCAACCCCCGTGCCTTCAGAGTGAAGTTTTCCCTCTGGAAAAAATCTCGAGCTCAAGACACAACTGACATTGTTCCTGTTGAGGACATCATTATCCACCCAAAGTATGAACAACACTATCTATACATAAATGTACTCCATTCATTTACAGGTACATCTTTTTCTTTTTTCATTCTAATAAAGCAGTTTTGAATGATCCACAGTTAGAAATACCAATTTTTCTTATACTGGGTCTTAGTTAGGACACTCAATTCATCCTCTATCAGGCAACTTCCCCTTTATTCGGTGGGTAGGTAGGCTTCTGCACCTGAGATGACCGTATTTGGGATTCCCATTGTGGGTAAATGATATCATAAAGATCCAATGACAGAAGAAAGCTGAGTGAAACTGAATGTTGAGAGAATTCTGAAGTCTGAGCTCATGACTCGCTGAGATTACTTGTATTTACATATGAACATCCATCACTGGAACAGCAGATATATCACAGAAATAAGAAAATGCTAAATATGTTTACTTTATAATCAAATGTGTGTAATAAAATAAGAAATTTTTTTTTAATGTCTCACAGTTATGTTGCCAACACATATGAAAACGACATCGCTCTGGTAAAACTCCAGAAGCTTCCATTCACAGAGAAATGTTTGGTGGACAATCCAGCAATAAGCGCAGTCTGTGTTCCCTGGTCCACACACCTCTTCCAGCCCAACCACACCTGCAGTATCTCTGGGTGGGGACGAACTGCAGGTATGGATAAAAAATCATATTTTCCTGTTGCAAGAAGAACAGTAATGTTGTTCAATCCAGGTTAAAAATGAAAGGGGATCATCTTCTTGATGCATTCTCAATCATCCAGGTAAGTAAATCTCCGGAAGTTGATTCTGTTCATCTGGACGTAGCGTTTTGTGGGAGAAACGTTTCGTCACTCATCCAAGTGACTTCTTCAGTCTCAGCTGACTGCGGGTTTCCCCAAATCCAACTCCAAGTCCAATCCATTAAAAGCTCACTCGTTCACATCCACTCAGGGTCCACAAAGCAGGATAACAAGCAGGGGTCCGGGGAAGCCTGTAAAAGGAGAGGAGATAGACGTTAGATAGAAGCAGTAGGAAATACAAAGAAATCACTAAGCAAGCCGGAGCTACACTGACACAGGTTAGCCCAACGATCCCTTGAAGAAACAGACACCATTAATGCTGAAAGGTATATCGGCATATATATGCTTTAGAGCAACATGCTCTCTCATTCAGGTTCCATCTTTTTCAGGAAAAATGTACAATTTACCAAAACAGTGCTAAGCAGAACCCTGTAGCTATTACAACAGCTTGGCTTCATTGTAAAACAGTGCAGGTGCTAAATTGGCCTGCTGACAGTCCAGATCTTACACAAGCTGAATATATCTGGAACATCATGAAGTGAAAAACAGGACAAAGAAGACTTTTATCTGACAAGAATGCAACAGTATTGATCTATATCTCCATCTACTTTGTGAAGTTATGTTTTCCCATCAGCTGGTTTGATTAATGAGCAAAGATTAAATATTCCTGTCGTTGTGTCCAGAGGGGAGGTCAGCTTCAGTGTTGCTCTGGGCCAACGTTTCTCTGATCGACAATTGCGGCAGATTCTATGGAAACCGCTTCAAACCAGGCATGATGTGTGCAGGTGAGTGATCTATGCACAGCCGGACTACTGCAACCTGGATATAGTACAGATGGAAATGTGTTTATTTGTAGGTGATGTGGAAGGCAGCGTGGACTCCTGTCAGGGTGACAGTGGAGGTCCTCTGGTTTGTGTGGATGAGTTAGGCGTTTCCTACCTGTGGGGCATCGTCAGCTGGGGTGAGAGGTGTGGACAGCCAGGATTCCCTGGAGTTTATACACAGGTACAGTACACAAAGACAATACTATACTATACAAAGGAGAAATTTATTACAAATACTGTGTACATATGCTGCAAGTGTCAGGGATCAGCTGTGTGACAACCCGGATTTGGACTTGAGTCAGAACACAATAAAGACTGACTCAGTATATAAATTCACGGGATGATGAGGGAACAGGCAACAAGTGGAGACAAGGCTGAAATCAATAACTGACTAATCAGAGGAACACAAGGCACACAGGACTTGAGAAATTTGACAGGAAATGACTAACACTGAGACCTGGACTAAAACATAAGAACGTCACTCAGAGCCAAAACAACAATAACAGAGACAAGACAGGAAGGACAGAATAGAAATACAAAAGTAAACAGGGAACTAACAGCGTAGTAAATAAAATGCTCTACCCAGAAGATGAAATAATACAGAATATCGAACCGAAATGGAAGTTCTGGGTCCAAACATTTACCGTATGTGAATTCTTTTATCTGAATTTAGAAGCATAAAATTAGAGGTCTTTCCAAATGTTATGTCTTTAAGACATTTCTGTAGTTTAACTAACTGGTGTGTGTTATCTGGCTTCATGCACAGATAGAGCTGGGTGTCATCTCTATAGCAGTGAAAATGTACCCTGTGAAACTCCATAATTAACCTTTGTGTGAAGAGGTCCCTACATTTACATGAACAAATCGGAGTCTATTAGAAACATCAGGGTTTTGTTTTTGTGGTCAAATAAGCCTGAAGTGTAATTTTTGTAATTGGCTGTAAACATGTTTATTTCTGCTGTAAAATTTGACTTTTTAAAACTGGAGTCAATGGGTTTGACTCATTTTTAGATCCTCACTTAGATCTAAGTGAAGAACTGTAGCTTTTGACTATTTCAATTGTCCATGACCTTTTGTTTTACTATTTTTTAATGGTTTGTTTCTTTAATTAGATACAAATGCTTTGTATAAAGCCAAATAGTTTTGACAGTTTGTTTTATTTTTAGAGCATTATAAATAGTTACTTTTCTTTTTTCATGTATAGTTATTGTTGATTTAGTGACTGTTATGTATTGTGGTATATTTTGTATGACTTGTATAGTACTTATTTCACATTTTAGGATTATTAGAAACAGTAACATTGTGTGTCTCTGTCTGACAGGTCGCGCATTACTTCGAGTGGATTAGGCTTCACATAGGTTGGTTTGCAGTCACCAAATTCAACTCATAATATGGAAAACCCACAGCATGTGGCCACATTTCAATATAGGTGTGCCATTTTATTTTGGTTAAAACTGCTCAGTGAAAGATGGTAAAAGACGCATTCACTGTTTGATGTTACTGCTTGGACCTACTGTTTGTATTGGTATTAAAATACTACGTTCTATCCAGTAAAACACCAATAAAATCTGCTTGTAAACATACTAATGAGACTTAATCTTTACTTGTAGTAGTAGTAGTAGTATTTATTTATTGTCATTGTCAAGAACAATGAAATTGCGTTTGGGGCTTCCATACAACCCAAAAACATCTCTAAACTAAATTTGAGCCTTAACACACACTTGCTGAGGTTTACTCAAGTTTCTGGAATGTCTGATTGCTCTAATAGCATCTTGTTCTTAAATGGGAAAACAATGTGGAAAGATAAAAAAGAGAATAGAGCAAAAAAATAAAACACAAGGGGCTGCCAACTGCACAGACAGAGAAGAACTGAACAGACACACAAACAAATATATGTATGTGTATGTGCATTTATCATGAAGTAACAGGGACTCCACAGATGGAGCAAGCACAGGGCCCGAGGTACCTGAGAATCCCACCTGGCAAAACACCTAGTAGAACACCCCCAGCCTCGACCACAACCCCCAAAGGAGCACGCCAGGAAACATGCCAAAACATCCAGCCGTGTGCCCTTGCACCACCAAGCATCACCAAACCCTGGATAACATGATATAGATTTCCTTTTTATCCCTTTGTAATGCAGTTCAGTTTTTTCTATATCTGATGCATATCTGGATTTTTTCAAATGGGTTTTTACATGTGATAAGTGAAGACTTAAAAGATATTTTTTTAAATTCCCACCAAACTGCCAAAGAGCTGCTTTTGCTAAGGTGTTTAAAGCAGGCGTGATGCTTAATACAGGAGCTAATATAAAGCAGATCGCTTTTTCACTGAGTGCTTGCTTTATGTCCAACCATGAGGTGTCTAACAAGCTTACACAACACAGAAACACAGTAATCTGTTTTATAAGAAGAGTGTTAAAACTCGTTCATGATGGGGGGTGGGGGGTGTTTACATAAAATGTTTTTAAATGCTTGAGTTTACTGACTTATATCAAGCCATAAGGGGTTTATTCGGGATCAGTGAGAACATATAGTTGAATTTCAGCAGAACGCTGCACTAAGGTCTAGCAGGACAAGCACAGAGATGAACTGTCAGAGGCCATAAGAAGATCATTTGTAACCTTCACTAAAGCTGTTTCTGTGCTGTGATGAGCTCTGAAACCTGACTGAAACTCTTCAAATAAACCATTCCTCTGCAGATGATCTGTTAGCTGTTTGACAACTACTCTTTCAAGGATTTTTGATATGAAAGGAAGGTTGGAGATTGGCCTATAATTAGCTAAGACTGCTGGGTCTAGAGATGGCTTTTTGAGTAAAGGTTTAACTACAGCTAGCTTGAAGGCCTGTGGTACATAGCCGATCATTAGAGATAGGTTGATCATATTTAAGATCGAAGAATTAATTAATGGCAGGACTTCTTTGAGCAGTTTTGTAGGAATGGGGTCTAAAAGACACGTTGATGGCTTGGAGGAAGTAATTATTGAAGTTAACTCAGAAAGATCAATTAGAGAAAAAGAGTCTAACTTAACATCAATGGTACTAAGAGTAGCTGTAGATAATATTACATCTGTGGGATGATTACTGGTAATTTTTTCTCTAATGATAAAAATTTTAGTTGTGAAAAAGTTCATGAAGTCATTACTAGTTAACGTTAAAGGGATTGTTGGCTCAAAAGAGCTCTGACTTTTTGTCAGCCTGGCTACAGTGCTGAAGAGAAACCTGGGGTTGTTCTTATTTACTTCAATCAGTGATGAATAGTAAGATGTTCTGGCTTTGCGGAGGGCTTTCTTATAAAGCAGCAAACTATTTCTCCAGGCTAAATGATGATCCTCTAAATTTGTGACACGCCATTTCCTCTCCAGATTACGAGTCATCTGCTTTAGGGTACGTGTTTGAGAATTATACCACGGAGTCAGGTACTTCTGATTAGAGACCTTAGTTTTCACAGGAGCTACAGTATCCAGAGTCGTACGTAGTGAGGAGGTGAAATTATTAACAAGTTCCTGAGTCTGGGGTAACACGATGAGTGAAAAGTTACCCCAGAGTTTGTGACAGCAGATTTAGCAAATGTTGCAAAATGATCTTGAGCTTATAAATCTGCCACTGACACAAACAAGTACTTCCTTTTTTTTCTCTTCATTTTCTTCATCTTAACAAACCGCAAGACCTTTGGAACAACCTCCAGACAGGCAATACCAAAGTGGAGATATTTGCCTATAATACACAGCACCATGTTTGAAGAAAACCAAACACAGTATATCAGCACAAACACGTCATACTAACTGTCACGGCTCGGGTCAGCGGCCGTGTGAAGGGTGGAAAGGAGGACTCAAATGCAGCACTTATTCAGACGTGAGGGGGATTTATTAACAATACCAAACATAAAGTGGAGATGGCAAACAGAACTAAGGATGAACTAAACTGGGAGAAACTAAACCAAGGAGTAGCAAACCTGAACATCGAAGTGAGAAACAGCAGGGAGAGCACGCAGGGAATTTCACAGGGTATCAACACAGACAACGCGACGAGGAGCAGAGGAAAACACACACTATAAGTACACAGAGAGACACTGGGAAATCACACACAGGTGGGGGAAACAGCTGGACCTGATTAACCTGACGAGACAGGGGAACACTAACACCAGGGACCAATAGAGGGAGCACAAACCCAGAACCCAGTATCTAAAATCCCAAACACAAACCATCCCAAAACAGCCACGAATAATCATGAAAGTAATAACAATTAAGAACATAAACACAAAGTCACTGAGTCATGGCCACAGGACCATGACACTAACTGTCAGGACAATAGTAGAGACATGATGGTTTGAACTTGTTTTGCCCCCACAGGACCCTTGCACATTGCAGGCAACCATCAATTCCTCTGTAGTATTCTTAAGTATTTTAGAATCAAGTGCGATGCCGTCTTTCTGACAGCTAAAGCTTAGCTGAAACTGGATGATAGTAATCCCAAGTACAGCAGCAAATCTACAACACAATGGCCACGATGACCTCAACCTAATTACAATGCTGCGGTGGGACCTTACACTTACATCACCACGGACTGCCATTTGGCTTTTTTCTACCTTTAAAACCCGGAGATCAGCCAAATGGCTTTTAGCTAAGCTTTAGCTCCACCAAGTGGAAGCTAAATTGGCTAGTCATTCATATGTATATTAGGTTGTTACCTGGGAATTCTGGAGGGAGGGGAGTGGGGGTGTGTGATTGA